AAAATTTAAATCAGCAAAAATAACTAAATTATATTATTAAAGATAAAATAATAAAAATAAAATTGTACACAGAAAATATGTATCCTTTTTACTTAAAAATTTTAAATTAGTAAAAGTAACTAAATTATTTTATTAAGGATAAAATAGGAAAAATAAATTTATACACCAAAAAGTGTATCCTCTATATTATATATATAAGATATATTGATATAGATGATTATAAAATTAATATAAATAGTTTTTATTATTTTGTTGTAAATAGTTTTTATTTATTTTGTACATGTTTTTTAGTTAAAATTATTAATTTTAAAAAATAACGTCAACTAAAAAAAGGTTAAATTTTAAAAAATGATTATTTAAAAGTTAAAATTAGTAAAATAATTATTTTAATTTAAAAACTTTAAATCAAAAGGTAAAATTGAAAAACAAATTTTAATCAAGAAAGAAAATTCCTTTACATATCATATGAGGATAAATAATAAAAAACTAAATAATAAAAAAACTAAAAATGAAAAAGGTCCCTTCAACGCGAGATGCTACAAATAAAAAAAATAATTAATCCATGACTTATTATATATAAAATTATAAAAATGTTCACACTAAAATAATTGTAAAAATATACGTTTTATCCGAGTTTATACAAGAAAAATAGTAGATAACAATTTCAAATGCGTTTATATATGTCCTCGGTCTAAAATAGTTTATATGTTTTTTAAAAATTATAGTTAGACACGTTCATTATTAACCCTGGCGTAAACACAGTCTGTTTTTATTTTTTTTAAGATGCTTGGTTATTATTACAAACTTAATCCTATGGTAAATAATGCATAGAAATTTTTTAATATTTTTTTTAGTGAGAGTTTCAGTTGCTTGGTTAATATTATGATATTTTGTTACGAAAAACTTTGTTTTCATGTTTTAATTCTTCATTTTTGCATAGTAATCTTAAAGAAACTTTTATTACGAAACCTGATAGTAAACTTATAAGTCTTTTTGGAAAACAAAAATTAAGTTTTTTTTAGTATTGGATGATTTATGTTTGATATTTTAAGATTTTCGTTGCATTGTTTGTATGACCTAGAAGGAAAAGAGAAAGAAAAGTTTAATGTTCTTTATAATTACATTTTTACTAAATAAAATTTGTATATTTTTATTTATTTTATTTCATTAGCAAGATATAACA